TATTCGGTCTCCTGGACCTCTTCCACTGTGCCGCGCTCTACATCAGGGACAGCTACTCCGAGCTGGAGGAGTACCTGGACTGCCTCTCCGCTGACCTGCTGGCCTATGTGGAAACCCTCCTACCCAGCACCTTCGTGGCAGTAGGAGCCCACACACCCACCTTTGAGTTCTTGGAGGACCTCTCCAGGACCATCTGCTACCTGGATGAGGAGACCAACACATGGAGGACCCTCTCCTGCCTGCCGCTGAGTGCCAGCACATTCCTAGCCGGCATGGCAACTATGGATAATAAGATCTACATCGTGGGCGGTGTCTACGGGGCCAGCAAGCAGGTGGTGGAGAGCAGCTTCTGCTACGATGCCGATGCCAACACCTGGAGCGAGTTCCCCAGCCCTCATCAGCTGCGCTACGACGTCAGGCTGGTGGGTCATGAGGGCTACCTATACGCCATTGGTGGGGAGTACGAGAAGATCTCGCTGAAGTCCGTGGAGAGGTACGATGTGGCCTCCAGCACCTGGACGTTTGTCTCTGACCTGCCACAGCCGAGCGCGGCAGCACCCTGTGCCCAAGCCATGGGGCAGATCTTTGTTTGCTTGTGGAAGCCGCTGGACACCACCGTCATCTATGAGTACGAGACCCGGCAAGACGTGTGGCTTCCCGTCACTGAGCTCAAGCGGCACCAGAGCTATGGGCACTGCATGGTGGCCCACCGTGACAACCTCTACATCATGCGCAATGGCCCGTCGGATGACTTCTTGCGTTGTGTCATCGACTGCTTCAACCTGACGTCACGGCAGTGGACTGCCCTGCCTGGGCAGTTCGTGAATAGCAAAGGAGCCCTCTTCACTGCCGTCATCAGGGGTGACACTGTCTACACTGTCAACAAGATGCTGACACTCGTCTACTCCGTGGAAGAGGAGACCTGGAGGTTCAAGAAGGAGCGGGCAGGTTTCCCGCGCAGCGGCTCCCTGCAGACCTTCCTCCTGCGGCTGCCGAAGCGTGACCACGACATCGCAATGTAGGTGAGCCCCTCAGGATGGTCTCCTTGCACGTGGCCTCGGCTCTGCACCCGCCTCTCCCCTGGGCTCCTCTCCTCTGCGGAGCCATACCCAGGTTCAGGGACATGTCACGTTGGACCTTGGAGGTGACACTACACCCGCCCAAGAGAAAGGGGCTGCAGCAGCTGCTGCTGCTTCTACCTGCACTGCATGGGCTGCGTGTAAAGTCCTACTGGACGTGGGCTCATGAGCCACCCCACACAGAGCTTCGTGGCTTTTGCAGTGGCCAGCTACCAAAGAGACACAAACACAGGTTATATTTATTCTGGCTGCACTCTGAAGGTGTGCAGCATCCCACCTCCTATCTGCTCCAATGGGAAATCAGTCATTATATCCAGGAATTAAAAGGAAAGCTATAAAACCCTCTGTGTTTTTCATTACTCTTGGCTTTTGGGTTTTTTCCCCCCCTCTCCTTCTGAAGAAAAAAAAACCTCCTAATGGGGATCCACGTCAAGGCTCGCTCCTGTCCGCTGAATGCTTTTTCAGCTGCGGTTCTGTTTCGGAGCCGTACGTGGGAGTGCGGTTCCCACACAGCCCCGTGCTCCCTGGGGACATCTCCACGGCCGCTCCTGGCCACAACAGGGTCCTGGGAGGAGGAGGGGAGAGGGGAGATGGCGGGGGTGAGGGAAAACATCTCCTGGGCATCAGGTGCTCAATGCACTGAGGAGCTTCTGGGATCTGGGAACCATCTGTCACACCGCCGAGGGCGTTATCCAGCTACTGCCTCCTCCAGGCTCATCTGCCAAGCCCCAGCACAGACCCAATGGAGAGGCAGGTGCTGTGGTGCATCAGAGGCTCATCTGAGCCAAGACAGGGTCTTTTTGAGGACATGGCAAACCTTGGAAATACAGAGGGTGCAAGAAGGGGATGAAAGGAGAGCACCACTGTTGGGCGGCGATGCCAGGCTTGCAGAGGTCTTCTCCATTAGCAGAGCTCCATAACCAGATGAGCTGTTCTCGTGAGATACCACCCCCTGATGTTGTTGAAGGTTGCTAGCCCTCAACACCAGTTCTGGGGATGGTTGGAGAACGTAGAGCTCCCCTTTGCGACCCCAGCGCTGCTGGGAGACCTGCGGGGACCAGGACAGCAGCAAACCCGGACCACGGCTCAGCTGGTTTCCAGTCCGTGGGACAGGCCCCGGGCTGCCCGTGCCGTCCTGGCCGAGACGGAGCGGAAGGGAATACCAGCTGGGATGCCTCAAATACCTCCGCTGCTGACCCTTGCCAAGTTCTCAGCATTTTCAAAACAGTTCCCGCATTTGAAAAAAGAAAAAAAAACAACCCACACAACACAACCACAAACCAAAACAAACAAGAAAACCCCAGCTCGCGTCCATGTCCAGATCGAAAACCACTTGATGCGCCTTGTCCCCATTTGCCCTCTGCCACTGGGCCCGGCCACCACCCTGCTGTCACCCTCGCCATGGGGACCACAGCCAGTGGAGGTGAAGGTCTGATGGTGGCACAGGGGACACTGGTGACCCTCACCCAGCTCTACACTGTGCTTCAGCATCAGCTGAGCGGCGTTACTATCCTCGGGCAGACCGTTAGCAGAAAGCCCATCAAGTCAAATCCTCGTTCCCTTCCTAGACGAAGCCAATTAACATTTCAGGCTGTCTTCTCCTAACTGAAAGCAGCACATGGAAGCACGCTGCTTTAAAACCGTTTTAAGCCGAACAAACAGCTTAAACCCTCCATTAAAATAAAGTTAAAATAATTCTGTTACTAAAATATTTATGACGTGCTCCTGTGGCTAAGCCGGGACAGCTGAACTTGGCAGGTTCTCCCCTTCCCTCCAGCTCTGACACCACCAAGCAATACAACCCCTCCCCCTACCTTCACGTGCTGATTTTTGGGTAGTTCAGGGGTTTACAGAGATATTTGCCAAAAAAATGCAAAAGGTTTTGGAATCATAAGTGTAGCACCTGGGGAAAAGAGCAGGTCTTGGCAGGCACTGTTGGGTACGGCATGGATGCTCCCAAGAGAGGAGCAATTTGTTGCATCCATCAATCCATACCATGATACAGAAAGTAACGCAAGATCATTTTAGGTGCACAGGGAGGAAAAAAAATACAGTTCTTACCTCTGCAATCAGGGGGGAAAAATGACGAGGCAGGACCAAGCAAATCTCTAACGAGAGCGAGAGGCGGCTCAGCCTGTGCACAGTGAGTGGGCACGGACGCTGCGAATGTACTTTGTTCCACCAGAATTTAGCCCTCGATGTTCTGCGTTACTGGCACCCGCACAGCACCCTTATCTTCCCCTTTCAATCTTCATGGTGTTTACTCCGCCAAAGATTACAGTTCGGGGCGAAGCGATCTATCTAATCACAGTTTAACCTTTCGCAAGTTTCTTTTTTAAGGTGACATCATCTTGGCAAGGATGAACGTAACGAAAAGCTGTCTGTAGAATGGACTTGCCTTATAAGGGCCGTATCAAAAATAAAAGCTTGTATAACGGAGGGAAAGCTGGACTAAAAACAGGGCTGGGAGCTCCGAGAAGAACTCCCCACAAATATCTCCCTTGGCCATACAAGGTGCCACATTTTCCTTTTCAATGCCGTTAAAGAAGAGAAGGTATAAAGCGTCATTGGGTATGGACGGGTCAAGTCCCCCAAAACCTGGATGCCAAGTTTTCTCGTTGCATCCAGGCGAGGACGAAGGCAGCCGTGGAAGGCTGTACCCTCCTCCTGGTGTTTGGCACCTACCTAGAGACACACGGGGAAGGGAGACGGTGTTTTAACTCGATGGCAGTACGTTGGGCTGGGAGATCGTTTGGAAGGATACAATGGAAAAATGGTACTAATGCAACTAATTAAGAATTTTCTCTGCTAGGTTGTGCCAGTTGGCATTTTCACAGGAAAAGACACAAATACATTTCAGCAGAACCCCTCCAACCGTCTTTACTCAAAGAAATTACATCTGTATCTAATTCACAGGGAAATAATACAGTTTTGTGTGAACGCTGTCCCCTGTTCCACTGCCAAGCCAAGAGACACATCCCGTAAGGTGATCTGAATCTCCGATTCTCCGTCCTTCAGTCACATACAAATATTCCCCCGGGCATCCAGATTTCCCTGATCCCGACATTTGTGCTTAACTTCATTTGGAGCCACTGTGTCCACAGTTTAGGGAAGCATCCCTTGAATTTTCCTGATTTGGGCAGAGCACGAGGGCAGCCGAGCCGTTCCCCATCTCTCTGTTCTGATTTCACGAAATTCCCCGAGCACAAACCCTTGCGAAAGCCATTTTTCATTGCATGGGATAAACTTCATGTATTTCTAGAGCAAGGGCAGCCTGTTTTCTTCCCTTACCCGTATTGAAATGTGTATTTATTTCAAGTTTCCGGTTTAAGAGGAGAAGCTAATGTGATCGGACTGGATTTCAATTACAATATTCAACCATGACTAAGTCAGCTGAGACTCTTCCCAAGCAAGGACCAGCAACTGTTTCTGCAGGAGCCTTCAGCTTTTATGAAAACCATCTCTTCTGTTGATTTATATAATCTTTTAAGAATCCACACTTGATTGTAGTTGAAAACAGGGCACTTCGGGAACAAGCTGCAGAAACGGTGCTACCCACCGCCCCAGGTAGAGGGAGAGAACTGTGGTTTGGGTTTTGCAAAATCTAAGCTGAAGGCGGTTTGGATCTTACTGCATCTAATCTAAACGGCTGAGACGATCGAGGGTGGAGATGTGTGGGTGAAGAGATAAACACTCCTGCTGCAAAGCCTTTGCCTTAGTACGGTGACAAACGCGCCTCTGATGGACGTCCATAAAATGAGACGAGGCACCAAGCCGGTGCTTTGAAGGTTTGTGCGCAGTGAGCCGTGCTGCGAGGGCTGGGGATGGAGCAGCAGAAGGGTGAGCGCAAGCTGACCCACCCGAGTCCTTTGGTGGTCCGGTCTGGAGAGGGGAAGCTGTGACTGGGGTCCAGGACGCTGCTCACTGGGCTTTCATCACGAGCTCTTCCAGCGCCTTCTCCCTCTGATTCCCACAAAGCAGAAGGACTTCTTTGATTTCATTTTGCTGGAAACCCATATCGTTAAACTGAGCTAACAAATGCAAGAATTCAGCTGCCTGGAGGAAGAAGGAAGAGAAAGGAGCGATGTTATCACGGGCTTTTAAGGATGGTTTTATCCCAGAGTTGCAGCAGAAACAGCGTTGGGTGACGAGGCTGCAGCCAGAGGACCTGGCAGGGTTGTATTACCGCCGAAGGGCACTCCTGGTACTGTTGCTAACAGCAGAGCAAGGGCACACATACCACTGCTAGCGTTTAAAAGCGTGCCTTTACATCAACTTTTAAAATAAGAAATATTTAATAAAGTCAGCCTCTGGCTTCCCTTATTCCTTAGGAAGTTTAATATGAATTCCATGCAAGCGTTTGCCTGCGTTATAAAGAGAGCAGGGAAAGGCTGTGAGTAGAAGCTGGAACTAATTTGCCCCGCTTCCCCCTTGCTCAGGCTGGGCCCCAGCGCCGCAACATCTCCCGGAGCCGCGTCCTCGGTAAATAACCCCCTGTCTGACATCGAGACCCGGGCGCCCTCCCGCTGCCGCAGCCCTAACGAGCGGTGAGCCGGCAATCCTACGTGTTGTCGGCATCACATCAAACACCACCAGCCCAAAATTTCAAGCAGCTTTTCTCCCACGCCGGCTCTTCGCTACCCCCAGGAGAAGATTGGTGATGGAGACCAACACCCGACGTGCCACCACGGTTCTTCTCCCTGGGAAGCCAGGGGGGAGGGAGCGAGCGCAAGTGCTGGTGGGCTTGGGGTGGGGAATTACCCGCGCAGGGGCTGAGAGAGCAGCATGCTCGCACAACGGGGTGAGAGGATGGATGGAGAAAAGCAACGGAGTGGGTGTCCTTCCCCGGGGGGTCCTTACGGTGACGCTGCCCTGGGGATCTGCGGCAAGTGCAGGCTCACTGCTTGCAGGGCAGTGGGTCTGACCTGCCGGGAGGCTGAGCGAGGGGCGGTGGAGGCGGAGGGGAGCACACAGCCCGCTGGAAAAGCGAGCCCGGAGGATGCAGCACAAAGGGCTGGGCTGTGCCACCCCGCTCTGACCTTTTTCTCCGAGTACTGGAACATTTCCATGGCCTCCTCCACCTGCCCTTCCTCGTAGCCCTGCTTCAGCAGCCGGTCGCAGGCACCCAGGTAGCTCAGGAACTGCAGAAGAAGACAACCAGGGTTAATACAACCTCGCAGACGTGGGGTGCAAGTGCATTCAGGAGCCCACCTTGCCACCTTCCAGGGACATGATTGTGGGGAGGACCTGTGGCGCAACAGTCCTGCTGGCTCCCATCTGATGCTTGGCTGGGGCGGTCTGTCCATCTGCAGGACTCCCACCGCGAGAAGACAACATCTTGGTCCCCCCCCCCTCTCCCAGGGTGGGAACAGGAACAAGGCGGAGGGAGGACAAGGAGCAAACCAAACCATCTGAGATGCAAAGTGATGACCTCTAGGCTGGGGGGTGAAGCAGAGCCTGTCCCTAGGAGATGTCTACCCCCGGCCGACCCAGCATCCCTTTGATGCGCCGGGGTTTGGGCGCCCGCGGGTTCGCTCCAGGGTCCAAGCACAAAACCCACCCCAGGGGAGACCCGTGTGCTGTCATTACTGAAAGTAAACAGTTATTTTTGGCTTTCCTCGTTGCTCTTGGAGTGCTGACAGCACTATTCCCGGCGGTATCTTTTAAATGCCACGAGAATCATTCACTGTCCAAAAACATATGGGACAGACAATAATAAATGAGCTATACAATAGCAGGGGGAATAAAAACATCCCATGGGTCTCCTCAAAGCTGTGCCTTCTTCATCCAAGGAGAAGCTGATTCATATCTCCCCGGATCCACCAGCGCACAGACTTCTACCCTCCCCAGCACCACCGTAGCCAAGAAGAGGGATTCAGTAAAAGGCCATAAAACGTACAAAAAAGCCAAAAAAGTCCCTCAAACTGAGTTGGTCATTTGGCTAAACAGCGGAGTAATGATTTTAAGAAATGTCAGCCTTAAGGAGCAGCTTATTAACTCAAAAATGAGATGTTCATTGGTCATTGGCATTCATAACCTGTGTTAATTTTCCTCGTTACCTTACTAACTAAACACCCCGGACGATTGTGGTATTTTGTTGCCCTGTCCCAGCAGGGACAGCCGCTCACGGCAGAACACAGCCAGTCCTGGCAGCCTGTTCAAGCCCAGCATGGAATCGGTGCTGTTGTCAAGTCAATGCTTTTTATCATTAAAAAAAAAAAAAATATATATATATATATACACACATCCTCAAAACTAAACAAAACCAGTTTTTTAAATATTATGATCTCCTAACCCCTTGGGTCTGGTACCGGCCTCACCACTCGCTGGGGAAGAGGAGGAGGTGCCACTGCCCTCCTGAAGCTCCTTCTCCCCTTGTGCCTCTCAAGGAAGCTCCTCGTCACACTTAGATGTGAAGTTCCTCCAGCACAGGCACCCCTGGAGCGCTCGGCTTTACCCGCTACATGGCCAACCCGATAACCTCATCACAAACAGCTTGTGCAGGAAGACACCTCCAGGCTCAAGTAGATCAGTATCTGGTTTATCTCTTCCTTCGTGTGTTGCTACTTGGTGTTATGAGCAGCAATGTAGTTTTCACATCAAAGACAAGCATGTGCAGTGACGTAAAGGAAATCCCTCCTCCAGTAGATTTTATTTTCCATGTTCTTCTACCACTTTGGCTGATTCCCATTGGAAAGGCCTGTCCCCATGAGGTCCCTGCTTCAAGTGCCCCAACAACTGGCTGCTTAAGAAGAGCAAAGGCTTACCACCAACCATTTCACCGACCCACCTGGGCCGTGGACCATAAGCTGCTAGCTTAGAAAAAAACACGAGCAAACACCGCCAAAGACCCAAATGCTGATTTCATTTTGGAGGAACAGGGTAAACAACTCCCCAGTCTTGCAGCAGAGTTCAAGCCAGGGACACACAAACCTGGTGAGCACAACCCCTCCAGAGATGGAGGCTCTCCAGGGGGACAGTGAGATGTCAGCCAGCACTGCGGCAGACAGCCCTGCTCAACTCACTGCTGCAAAAGTTACCGCTGAGAATCATAGAATCATAGAATGGTTTAAGTTGGAAAGGACCTTGAAGATCATCGAGTTCCAACCCCCCTGCCATAGACCGGGACACCTCCCACTAGACCAGGTTGCCCAGGGCCACGTCCAGCCTGGCCTTGAACACCTCCAGGGATGGGGCCTCAACAACCTCTCTGGGCAACCTGTTCCAGTGCCTTACAACACTCAAAGTGAAAAATTTCTTCCTAATGTTCAATCTAAACCTGCCCTCTTCCAGTTTAGAGCCATTAATGCAACTTCTACAAGTGCTGGAGAGGCTCAAGGAGCCACCGCCAGTGGGGGCGGCTGACGCAAGGCTTGTAGGAAGCACTGAAGATCTAGATCGTTGCTCAGGGGAAGACAGCAAGTTCTTGTGGAGGAAGAAAGGGGTAGGAGCACACTACAGAAGCACAACAGAGCATATATTTTACTGTGTTATTGATTTTACAAGAGTCCAACAGGCCATAGGAAGACACTCCCCATCTGCACGTGGCCAGGAGGTGGCTGGCGCAGTGGGCTGTGTCCCATGGTGGACGCCCTGCTCTGAACCCTGTGCCCCCATTTGTCCCTTCTCAGCTCACACGCACATTGAGAGCTCTGTGGATCAACGGCACATTTTTGGATTGATCAGTGATCATTGATCAAGATGCAGTGATGCATTTTTGGTTTAGCCCTTGCCCATGACACCCCAGATGACGAACCTCTGGCATGCTGGGGCAACCAACCCCGCTTGAGCTTTTAAAGAAGTTCTTCCACTAAAATTGAGAAGGCATCGCCTCTTTAAAGCAGCAGACTTGCTTTCTCCACCAGGGTGGGCTCTGCCAGTTTGACTTGACACTGCAAAGAAATTGAGCAATTTTTGGCTACCATCTGGTACTACAATCAATCTTCATGGCTGAAGCTGTCATCGTTATACACTGAAACCCTGCGTGACACCAGCAAGCAATGAAGAGCACCCACAGCTCTTGTTTTTAACTTGAGTTGAAACATATTTTCCAGGAAGGTTTAGCCTAATTTGGCAGTTTTGTACTTGTAAGAGATGCACAAAGGGCTAGGCTTTACGTTTCATCTTGGCTATATTGGGCGTAACTGGGCAAGACGGGAACCGCTGGTGAAGGAGACACAGGATATAAGGCCGACCTTGTATTTTGGTGAATTAAACTCCTCTTCAAGGGAATGGGAGTCCCTGTGTTTACACAGAAGGGAGCAGACTGTACCCGTTTCCACCCTTAATAAAAGGCACTGCTGCTTCATATGGAAGCCAGCAGTTGCTACAAGACGCCCTTGCAGAGCTCTGCGCAGAGAACGTGGGCTGGAGTCTGCCCGTCTCCCTCCGCCAAGATGAAACCTTTATGAATTGAAGAAATGAAGCTCCCCTTCCCACCTCGGCTTGCAGCAATGATTGCCTGAAACACCAGCGAGGCCCTGGGGAGGCTGGTCCAGCCGGGGGTGACTCAGGAGGGAGCCAGAAGCTCCAGGATGACTCAGCCGCAGAGCGGCTTCATGCACCGACCAGATGGGTAAGAGCTGTCCCACACAGCAGCTCCCCGGGAACATGGGATGGAGACTCGCACCCAACAGCGGCTGCTCGGTGCTGTGGGGTTCGCGCCTCTGCCTGGGGTCTGCTCCCGCTCCCTGGCATGACAACCTGGTGGACATCCCTCTTGCTAAGTTGCGATCAAGCCCCTTCTCTCTCTGCAAGAGCTATTTGGATAATTTAGCCCTACCAAATGCTCCGCTGGGATGGGCAGGTCCAGCCCCAAGCTCGCCAAGCCAGAGGGTCAGAACCAGCAGCATCCTTCATGGCACGGATGCTCCAAGCCGACCTGGACCACAAAGGGTTCATCTGGACAAGAAGAGACCTCAGGAATTGGAATGCAGCACAGCAGGCTGCGATGTACTCAGATACCAGGGGTAGGAAGAGGCTGTATGTTAATTATTTTTAATAAATTCCAAGTTATTGTAGAGGGTTCATCAGGAAAAGAGCTCTGGGACCCAGATGCAATGCTTGCGTGGAGTCCCTGGTTGCTCCAACGCGGGGAGCTTGTGTTTTGGAGAAAGCCCAGACAAATCTCCGAGGTATTCGTACAGTCCCGCTCTGACAGGATGAGCCATGGCAATAATCATACGAATCTAACAGCCGGGAAAAAATGATGTGCAAAAAGTTTCCATATACGGGGGCAAAATTTGTACTTCAAAAGGACACCATGCTCCATACAACAGATTGAACAGATAACGTTACCCGGCCGTTATTACTCGCTGAAAAGCTGAGGGCGACTCATTGCTATTTTGTTACAGCAAAAGTGCGGATGTGTGATCCCTGTCCACCGAGCTCTGATACCAAAGTGGGAAACCCAAGGCCACCAGAAGTCCACCCCAAGCAAGACAGCCATCCCTTTCTCCATGAAAATCAAGTTTTTCTTTACCAACAGCTTTCCGCGGCACCGTGCCAGCTCCACCAACCTGACTTAAGCTTTGCTTTCCAGTCTTCTGGAGGGTGAGGATGGCTTTGCGGGTGGGGTAGCCCAAGGCTATAACAGGCTCGATGAGGTCTCGCTCCTCTTGGCTCAGCGCCGCGAGCAGGTCAGCCGCCGAATCCGGCTGGGATCTGTGGGAACTGAGAGGTCGCGCAGGCGAGGAGGCAGGCGTGGAGGCAGGGGGGAGGCAGGCGTAGGGGCTGAGGGACTGCAAGAAAAAACAAGCAGATGGTCTTGCTCCGGGCTCGTGAAATGATGCGAAACGATGCAGGCTGAAGCAATGCTTTCAAACGCCGGCAGTTACCTTGTTCTTTCCAGAAAAGGAAAATTCCCATATGTGGAACAAACACCCCCTGGGCATCAAAGGAGACCGGACTTAATTAAATCCAGGCTCAGCTATAGATACAGATCAGAGAAAACAGTGCTCAGAAGGGTTCATGGGGCAAAGAGGGCAAAAGCCGCTTCCTTTCCCTGGAGATCCCGGTCACGTCTCCAGCAATAGATGCCACGCTTGTCCTCGACCGGCCAAGCAAGAGGCAGCACTGCCCACGGACAGGAGATGCGGCAGCCCGGGCAGGAGGACCCTCCCCTGATGCCCCATTTATGCCCGTGATGATGATCATTTAGGTTTCTCTTACAAAGCCATCTCCAGAAATTACCTCGCACATAGAAACGCTCACCTGAGTACGAGGCTTTAGTTTTTGGAACGATCCATTTGTAACAGCAGCCGAGCAGGGTGGGCAATGGGTTAGTAATTAGTTGCAACAGCTGTTTAATGTATAAATACCCACAGGCATTTAATCCTTCCTTAATTACCCTACATTTAATGCAGCTACAGATAAATAACCTGGCCTTTCGTGTGTCCAATGGTTTTAATCGTGGGTTTTCAGTAATTCATCTCCTAAGTCTCTCGAGTAGCTGAATGAGATGTGATTTCTTAAAAAAACATAGTGCAATTCATATTTAAGGTGACAGCAATATTTACTCCATCATTTCACACCACAGTCTCCATCGCTAAGCGATCGGTGTTTCTAGTAAGACTATGAAATCTAAAGTTTCCTAGAAAAGACATGATGGCTGTAAGGGGGAATTTCCCTGTAAACTCTGTTTATATCTGTTAGAGGGGGCAAAATGGAAAGGAAAGAAGGAAAAAAAAACCTTATTTCACTTTTTTTTTTTTTTACTGTTTCAATCGAAAATCAAATCAGATGCCTTGCTTGTCGGGAAAAATGGGGATGTTGTGGTTAGGACCAAACTTACAAAAACCCGCCAGCAATTTCGCATGGGTTCAGTGTTCCCAAAGCCCCACTTCGGTTCTGTTTTTCTGGCCAGACCCCAGCAAACGGGACCGATCCCGCCCCCCTCCTGTCTCAGCGACAAGGCAAAGGGCTACCAGAAAAAAACACCTCACCGGCACCGTGGGCTTATGCTGTTTGATCGGGGGGATCGACGTGGCCACGGCTGGAGGAGCTGGCACCAATATCCCCAGGTGGGACGTGTCCGGGGCTGGCCCGTACGTGATGCTGCAGCCGGTGCGGGGGCGCTGGGGGAGCGGTTGTGGCACCGGGACCCCTCTGCTCTCCGCAGCGGCTCTGTTCAAAGGATGCAGGAAAGCAGCCAGCTTCCTCCTGGCCGCTTCCAGCTCGTTCTTCATGTTGTTAAATATCACCATGGATCTTCTCTGCTTGCTAGGGTCTGGGCTGGCTGGGCTGTGGCTGTTGTTCTCCGGTGGGGGCTCCAGCAAGCCGGGCGATGTCTTTGGTCTGGTCTGGTAAAAGCCAGGACGCAGAGTGGGACCTCTCCCAGCGTTTCTCCTCCTGGAAACTTTTTCATCCTTGTCGTTCTCTTCCCAGGAGGTCGAGGAGTACTCGTCATCCTCTGAGTACTCGTCCTCCTCTGAGTGCCAGGTCTCGCTCTCGGTGTCAGACAAAGCTCCTCTGCCCTTGGTGTGCCCGTAGCCGTCGTCGGCAGCGCTCAGGCTGATGCAGCGCCGCACCGCCCCGTCCCGTGGTCTCCCCACGTAGCTGTCGGCGGGGTCCACCAGCAGCAGCCAGCACGGCGGAGCCGTGGGGACAACTTCGGAGGTGACCCGATGCCGGGAGGTTTGCTGCTGAGAGGCCACCTCGACCCAGTAAAGCACTTTTCTTTCCAGCGAGAAGTCATGCTGCAGAAGAGCAAGAAGCAGATGGTGAAGGCACCTAAAACCAGACCACGCGGCACCGAGCAAACCATGTCCTTCACGAGAGGACCTTGAAGACCCCATCCTTGCCATATTGGCTCCTATCTCCCTGAGCATCGGGCCTGGCTGCGGGCATCTCAGCTGTAGGATTGGGCAGTGCCAGCCTCATCCCTATAGGGAATCCCCAAATTTATACTTGAAAAAAATCTGGCTATGAAGTTATTACTATTTTGAGTTGTATCTACATATCTTTTGATCAGTGTCTTATGGTCAGAGATGGTTTTGTGTCAGTTTGGCTGCTGTGGAAGGGGGCAGCACCCGTTAGTGGCACCTGGCAGGGCCACTTTGGGCACGGAAGCTCAGGAGTCACCAAAGGGGGAGTCACCACCTTGGGCAGAGTCAGGACTGGCGCAGGAGTCTCCAGCAGCGCTGGGGGCTCAGCTGGTCTCAGAACAGTCATCATTTCCACATAGTCTGGCTTAAAATATAAGCGTGTTTGAGACTGAAATCTGAGGGTTTTCCTGGAACAAACAAGCCCTGCCCGTCCCAGAGCTCTCCAAACAAGGTCTCCTCTGGACGGGCAGGCAAGTACATTCACAGCCCAGGAATGCTGTTTTTACTGCTCCCTGCCACTTGTCAGCTGTGGACCCAAACAAGCCTCCCCGAGGAAAACACCACCACGTGCCTCAACAAGGATCAGCCCGCACCACCAGCGCAATCGTTCGGCCTCGGTGGGGAGCACTGACATATCCCCGACCAGGGACAAAAACAGGTCTGGGGGTTTCCTGGGATAGGAGGGGATGGTGGACCACCTCAGCTAGTCCATGGGGATGCACACCATCACCTGCCTTTTACACAGGTGGCAAAAAATGTGTGCATTAATATTTCCTTTGGAGAAATAACTTAAACCGAACAACACCGTGACTCTTCATGTTAAACACGTCCTGCAGATTTGGGATCTGTCATTTTTGGAGGAGGGACGAGGAAGGCTGAGCTAGGGAAAAGCCAGATGTGGGGTTTATTGCTGGTTCGCCCACCACCGGGAGCCAGCAGGGGCTGTTTGGGAGCGCCTAGATGGCCTTCCCCCTGTGGAGTGCACTCACCCCATCTACGGGTGAGACTACTTAAGGCTGAACACACAAAGTATTTCTGAAATCATCCGTGAGCCCGGAGAGCCGACTCCAGGCCTTCGGTGTAGTTGTATGGGGAAAGGCTTCCTATTCCCTTCCAGAGCACAGAGAGCTCCTTCCAGTTGCTGTGTTGGGGTTTAAAATTGGTGACAAAACTGTTAAGCAATAGGTGTAGATTCAAAAGCAGTTTAGGACTGAGCAATGTGGAAGATCACAAAGAGCCACAGGATACTATATATATATTATATACATATATATATATATATATATATGTTGCCAGCACAGGTAATATTGCCAGCGCCAACCTCCATTAGATTTATTAATAAATATTATTAATAAATGAGATGGTGGTGATTCCAGACTAGAAAACAATCCCAGAGCAGAGCCTGAAGTTTGTCCTCCTATCCCAGAAAGGCCCATCCCTCCTGCTTGGATGGGATTAAAAAAAACCAACCCCAACCCTACCCCTCCCGCACTCCCACCCACCACAAATTCTCCTCACCTCCTCCCATTCCTGCAAACCAGCCAATTAAGAGATCAATTAGGAGGAGAGGTTTCCCTTCCCTTCTTTCACAAGAAAAGGCAAACACGGCTGACATCCCTTTGAGCATCCCCCCAGAAGCGAATCCCGGCGCGGACGCAAGCAGAGGCGACTCACCATGGTGCTCATGAGGATGTCGGCGCAGTCAGGGAGCTCGATGGCCGGGGCCGTGACTAAATTGGTTTCTGCCCCCGAGTCCCCGTCAAGACTCCTGGTCACCCGGAAGGGAACTTCATCCAGGTAGCTCATCACCGCTGCCTGATTTCTTGCTGCGGGACGAAGGGATGAAACAAAACTGTAAAAGGCGGGACTAGCACCTTTTAAGTTGGGTGGAAGGAGAGAAAGATGAGCTATTTCGAGGGATGTGGGTGAAAGGAAGGCAGCCCTTGGAGACACCACCAGCCAAGCAAAAACCGCTGAGTGAAATACCCAGATTTGCAAAATCTTAATTACTGATGCCAGGAAGATTTGTCTGAACTAACCTTTGCTATTCTGAGCTTCAGCCAGCAGGACCTGACCAAGCTTATGGCTTCATTTGGCAGAGATCCTGAGTGTTTTTCTCTCTTGCTTCCACCTCCATGCATGCCCCGCTGCTTGCCACCCCTCCTCCTGCCTCTCCCTCTCCCTCTCCTTCCACTGCCCATCGCACGCTCCCGTTCCCAAGCTGGGGACAGACCAAGCATTTTTTCCAGTTCCAGAGGCAGAAACCGTAGCCAAAGAGAACACCTCACAGGTCTCCTCTCTCTGCGTGACCTGCGAGCACCCGTGGTCACGGAGCTCATGCGTGTGGCCACGTGCTGCTAAGCCATCAGACAGAGCAGCAGGGGGGAGCTGGGGCGAGGACATCCCCTCCAGTGCCGCAGCAGCGTACCGAGAGCCAAACAAGGTGGCTGGTGCATCAGGTAAGCATCGCTGTGAGAGGGATGTCAAACGAGCCATTTTAAGGCCAGATTAGCTTTTAAGAACCATCTATTAGTTTTAAGCGCGATGGTGTTTTTAGATCGGGAATAGGAGGGGAGAGAAAAATTTCTGATGGACTGTGAATAGTGGCGTGGAAAATACCACTGCAATAGCGTAGCCGTCAGTTCTGTATAAATGACTCAATTTAGTAAAAAGCCCTGAGTCCCCAGCTTCCCAGCGATGACAGGGTGCAAAATAATTTCCTTTATGTATTGTTAACTGGCAAGAGCCGATGGTCAATAATCCACCGAGTTCGGGTACCGGCAGCCTGCGCCTGCACAGCCCAAAGCAGTGGCCCTCAGCAGCCATTCGCAGGACACAAACTGTAAATACTTGGTGTGACATGTCTTCTGGTCTAGTGGGAGGTGTCCCTGCCCATGGCAGCGGGTTGGAACTAGATGATCTTCAAGGTCCCTTCTGACTTAAACCATTCTATGATTTTATGATATCCATAAGTACTTTTCCCAAGTATTTTTTTCCTTTAAAATGAAATGGCTTCTATGACAATGAGGATAAACACTCTATGAAAAGAAAATAAGCGGATGAATGCATACAAGGACTAAAAAGCTGCCTGTTTGATGAAAAATAAGGGTCTATAGCTGGAAATGGCACTCAAGGTAGTTTCTTATGTTAGCGAAGGACTAACAAACTGCTTCCAGACCACAAACAAAGAGGGACACGCACAATTGCTGGGTGCAACTCAGCTGCTCTTATCAGAATTACAAAAGAATTACAAAAGGCTCGCCTGCTTACGCCAGGAGCCTTTAATTCCCGGGGCTGTAGCGCGGGCAGAGCCCCTAACCAGCTTTGCGGCTCCCGCACATGTACTGCTGCTAACATGCGACACATGCAACGTGTTGGGAGCCTGCACGGAGCCAGGCCATCTGCTCCCCAGCCTAAGAGGGCTCAGCGTAAGTTACAATCCACCTCGGCACTACCAAAGACACCGCGTGAAAACATCCGTAAGCAAAGCCGCCTTCCCCCAGCTTTCTCCCAACGCCTCCGCGTGGTCGTGCAGCCCCTGCCTGCGAGAGGGACGGACCCTCCGTGCAGTTTACGCCGTAAATCAGCTCCTCCCAAAAGCTGTGCGGCACAGAGGTGCCAAGGAAAAGAGTATCTCGTCATCCGTCACTTAGAAAGGTTTTACTTGGGTTTAAATGCCACTTTAAATGGAATGAAGATGGGTAGCAAATGTGTCTGAAGCCACGACAAAGAAAATATGGAGAGATTATGGTACTGTATCTCACTGTATTTCACCGTGTAAACACTGTACTCGAACAGCTCCCACAAGTGTTAATTCCCAAAACCACTTTTTTAGAAAAAAAGAAGTACGTTGGGGTGAGGAGCGATGACAACACAATGCTACTAGACAGGAATAAAAGAGGATCAGTGGTAAACACCAACTTACGTACACCAGAAAGCAACTCCTGCAAGTGGTCTGACCTCATCTGCCTCACGCCAGCCCTGTCCGCTTTCCCATCAAAGACACAGGCCCACAAACGAACAAATTCCCATCAGGAAGAGGATGCGCCTTAAAAGAACGAGAAACCTGAACTGCACTGGGATCAGGAAAGATGTAGGATGAAAATGAGTCTCCGAAACTCATAGCCAACCTCTCCTTTCTTCTGGGCTGTCATTTTTTTTTAAAACTTAAAATAGTAGGAAAGACTATAGTCAGACAAGTTTGACTCTTAAATCTGAATACACAAGGGTTTTTTTAAGAATTAATACCCTGTCTCCATGTATTTTATGAGTTGCGACTTTAAACATTCCTCTTCCATTTGTGGCTTCTACATCTTTCTCACTAAAATTATAAAACACTTCAATGCAGATGTCATTAGACAAGAGCAAATACGTGTAACAACGACAGAAAGCTAGAGATTGAAGTACACCTAACTGTATCATCACCCACTGACATTTTCAAGTCCTACTTCTATTAACAATATAAAGTTACCCTTACTGTCAGACGAAATCATGGAGCTCTTCTTGCAGCGCAGGGAGAACAGGGTTGCTTCTATGCTGCCTGTTTATCTTCTGCTCAGTTCTTCAAATTCCTGCAGCGTCAGACAAGCATCCGACTTTGACAGTTTTAAGATGATCATAGCTTAAGCGGTTAGTCTGTGTCATCAGACACGCTGATGGGATAAGGAGCCTAACTGTTTAAGCAGAGCATCCTCCGGTCACTTAAGCTTCCTGAATTGCAACGGGTGTTTCTGCAATTGTTTTCCTGCTATTTGAACTTTTGCTTTTTCCTCGGGTAAGACTCCTCAGGACCTGACCCAGCCACAGCTCTCAGAGTAACGAGACGCCAGAAGTGACAGGAGGATGGGAGGATGTAGGGACCCCACCTCCAGAGGACGTCACGGTAACCTGTGCTTTGGGGTGCTGTAAGTAGGCAATATACACATGAGCAAGAACTGCAAACTTCTGCACCCAGATTAATTCTAACTCTATCAAAAAATACTTGTTCGTGTGCTCTTACTAACAGAAATCAGTGCAAAGCTTCAGCAAAAAAAATTATTAACATTACATGTAAGGCCCAAGTGTTGAATTTAGGCCAATATGTGTTGCCTCCTCCATGAATTACACGATGTTGCGATGTGAACATATCAGGGCAAAGCAAGAATAATGACTGCAACTCTGGGAAGACACCACGACAATCTGCATAGACCAGCAAAGCCCCAAACCCATATGGCCCATCGCTGTTCCACACAAACAGCCCAGAATATGGAAGGCTGTGAAATCAGATGCCTTTGTCACCTTGTAGGAGGGAGAAGTTCCTTCACACAAATCTTTTGCCAGCAATTCTCTCCGCATTGGAGTCGTATTTGGTGCCAAGTACTAGAAGAAATCTCTCCCTCCGAGTAAAAATGCTTCAAACAACAACAACAAAAAAAACACAATCCATTTTTCTCTATTTATTCTGTACAATAAACAACTTACAAAATAGAGTTGCTTTTTTTAAATCAAATACTACATACATGATCTGTCCCTATACAAAAACAGCTATATAGGGAAAAACAGTTACAGTAGGTTAGACTTCACATTTTATTGGTTTTTTCCAGCAGGCTTATTCATCAAATTTGTATGTATTCACATGGCTGTCTGACCTATTTCACCACAACTGGGAATTTTTTCCATGTTGTGGTACCAGTTTTAGTCCACAAAAGCAAAATGTCAACAGCTGCTTTAATCAACCCTGAAAAACCCTGACTTGTTTGTACTTCAGAATTTGTTTAAACTTGCAATAGGTTCGTTTCTACACACAAAAATACAGGAACTGTTTTGACAGCGATGCTTGACATGCTTCATTTAAGAAGAAAAACATGTTTACTAATGATCCCTTTTTTTTTTTAACTTCTTTATTTCTGGAGATTTCATCATCTGGATTTAGGCTTATAAAGATAAAAGCCACTAAAAATAGGATGTTAATACTGGCACAAATACCCTCGTCAGCAATGTTTCTTTCTTAAGATCAAGATTTGTTAACAAAAACTCGCAGCGGGATTGTAATTCCATGCCACGAGAGGTCTAGCAGCTTTGGGCTTGCTCAGATATTTCCCCACGGAGTCAGATGGCAAAAACATTTCTTACACTTTTCTTCAAGACATTCCAGTACCTGGCTACCGAAACAGAGGACGAGACTTCCTCTTCGCACCCTCTCATGTTTACAGATGCGATTATAACGGAACATTCCTCCAACATTCAAATAATTTATCAGTAAATTATCTGACAGCCGTGGCCCAAGTGTCATTTGTGGGGAGACTGGGAAGAACCCATCCTGGCGGGATGCAGCTTCCTTCGGGGTGATCTGCTGGCACCAAGTACTGATCCCATTCGTGCCTTTAACAGAGAAAGCATTGTTTGAGAGGAGAGCTGGTATGAGTTTGGTAATGAGATTTATTATATACCCACACAGGTATTTTTCCATACTGTTCAATACACAAACCACTGTAAATTGTACTCTCAAACTTGTTTTTCAGAATGAGAATATGAAAATTACATGTATATCCTATTAAATTGAAAGGTTACGCACGGAAGCACGCTCTGCGTCACACAGGCATGTGTTGAACACAGCTCTATCAAGCGAGAAGCTTGATCCTTAGCTGAAAAAACCCAGGACAATTCATTGCATAACCGTATTTGGAAGTTAACAAACCAAAAGGGACCATAATTTTACAGTCTCAACAAACTATACTTGTCATCTTTGCTAATAAAACAAAGACTTTGTTTGGTTTTACCTGATCTGGATCAGAGCAGCGACAGAATGCTCAGCTTGTAAGTAATATTCTCTGAAGGGCTGCAGTAGATGGGCTAGAGGAAATTCATCTGTTAAAACACATAGAAATCACTCAATAAACCAGAAAGACCTCTGATTCTAGTAAGTCTTAGAAGCCCCAAATTTGCCAACTCATTTGCTGCTCCCCAGCTGTAAGTGAAATCACTTCCCTATGTAATATATTAAGGAGTATTTAGATGTTTTGCACGTCTCCTCATCCTTACCAGAGCTGTCAGAGGCAAGTGAAGACCAGCAAAACTTTTCCTGCCTCCACCTTCTAAACAAGGGGAACATATGGACGCTGAATCTTCACAGATTACACAAGTCGCACGTACCAAATCACCAGACTAAAGCATCTGTTGGGTGCTGGAAGTCTTCAATCTATTCTGTTTATTCTCACTTCAGCTTAATCTACAACCTCTTCTTGCAAAACATTATGAAATCGGCTGGAGACATACTGCAGTCTGCACTGAAGAGCTAAACACTTCGAACATCACATTTGTTAACAGCACACTACATCTCTTCCTTGGAGCATGAATTACTCCAGTGGATGATTTCTTTCTCAACTATTTCTGTGCCTGCATTTTAAATCCAGTGTCTATGAGATGGGGGTGCAGTGTGGAAAAATACTGTTAAGTATGGCATGCAGAATTTACCTTGATCCCCAAACAGCTTGGAATCAATTTCGAGTTTCTGCTGTAGTAGTTTTTCCCTTTCCTTCTTCTGTTTCTTTTCCATTTCTCTCTTCCTTTCCTCCTCCTGTTCTCCCTCCAACATAACTCTTAGTGCTCTCTCCTCGGCTTCATACAGCTCTGTGCGATTTTTGAGCAACGTTTTGAGACTCTCCACCTGGCTTTCAAACGCTTCATCTGCAGAGGGGGGTGGACAAACGCCTAAACAGAAAGAGAAATAACTTTAACTTTTCAAATTCAGAAGGGGCTCTGTTATCAGAATTGAGGGCAGAGCTGGCAAAATCTCAAAGGAACATGAGTTTAACCTGGCTAACAACTATCTTACTGGAATAATTGTTCTATCAAGAAAGAGCTTGGAAATGTACGAACACAACCACTGTATTCAGCATTTTATAGCTATTCTTGTATAACAATGTAACTAAAATCACTAATAAAGAAACAGCTTTTTCAAGCTGCACCTTGCTACTCAGCACAGGGTACGCACATCATCTTATTTCCTGCATACATAATTTTAAAAGTTTGGTAGGAATCTCATAATTAACCTTTCCTGCCAGCTGCCTCTTTTCTCAGTTTCCGAAGCTTTTCTAATGCACGCAGGATGTCCACCATCCTCTTTGTGTCTGCTTGCTTCTTCCGTACTTCAGATAAGACACTGTCTGCAGCAGCCTTAAGTTCTTGTTCCTATGAAAGAAAGAAAAATACCCAGATGTGATGTGTGAAATATCCCATGTAGACAAGAATTAAACAGTATTTTCAAAAAGATTAGCAAAGCACTGGAGATCAGAGTAACTTCCAAGTAACACAGCCATAGCAAGTGAGGTCAACCATCCAACCTTGCCTTTTTGTGAAAAAGCTAAAACACAATAGACTTCAGGAAATAAAAAAAGAATGCTGAGCAACTCATAAATTTGGGCCAAAGGGCTAACGAATTCAAAAAGCCTGATAACCTTTAACCACAGAAGGTTAGGAAAACCATTCAATAAACATAAACCATCCCGATTCTACAACTCAGTAATTTAAGACCATTAACACGCCACAGTCTGAACACAAAACCTTTCCCAACAGCTGCTCCACACCACCCCAGCAGCAGACCTAGCACCAGCAGGTGGGTAGCTCTTTAGCCAACAGCCAACACAAAAATGCCTACAGCACTTCCCGGGAAGCCTAATCTGGGGTGGTTTGGCTTTTTGGTTGGGCTTTTTTTTCTGCTTTGGAGCCATTTTACTTCCCAGTGAGACCGAAAAGCTTGCAAACAAGCAGCTCTACAAGGATGCAGCCTGTAGGGAAGGCTTACAGGTACTGAAATGGCATTGACCACTGTAGGGTAGCTGTGAGCAGCATGGTGCAGGCTGACAGCTTGGGACTGGAGAGGAAGACTCCCCCATGCAACCAAGAGTTCAGAAACCACTTAAACTCCAACTGTCAAGGCCTTGGCCATCAACGTGGCGAAGCTGAGGTGTTCACCAAGGCTTTTAAGAAAGCAGCAGGACTGCAGGCCTCGGAAACAGCGTCTCTCCAAACAAGCTGAACCCATGCAACACCCAGGTGGCACCTACTGAACCTCAGGGGCCAAAGCCAGGTGCCAGGCAGGCACAGCCCGCTGTGAGAGGTCTCCCCCAGCTCCACCATGCACCTGCACCCCAAAGGGACGCGCAGGAGTCCCCGGGAGGCCACACAGCAGCCGGGGGAAGCACAATCAGGCTGCTCAGGGCCGTACCCGGTTCTTCTCCTCCACCTCCTGGATGCACTTGGCTCTCCACTGGTCGATCTTGGCCTCCCGTTCGGCCGCCCGGGTCGCCTCCTCCTCCTTGGCCGCCTTGGCTTCTTGCTTCCTCCGCTGCAGGCGCAGCCTCCTCTTCCTCGCCCTCTCGGCCTTCCTCCCCAGCGCCTCCCGGTAACCGGGTTCCCTCAGGGGCCGCACGACCTCCCGCAGCTCCC